ATAATGGCCGAGGCTTATAGGGGCAACAGGAGGCGGAGCGAGGTGGCGTTTTGCCGAGTTGAATGGACCGCGTTGGCGCTCGCGAGAAAAACATTTCAGCTTAAAACTCCAAAACGAAAGGTGGCAACGGCGCCTGGGCCGAGTGTCTCTCGGAGCCCCGTGATAGAGATATCCGATCTCCCTTAGAGAGCGAGAGAGGCAACAGCAGCCACCAAGAGACCTCACGAGCCTCTTCCGACCGCCGTCGTCCCGAGCCCTGCGGTATCACCGGGGCCCAGCCGAGGGGTTTTTCGGGGGTCCCCCCCCCCCCGCCCCCGGTGGGGCGATCTTCCCTACCGCAGCGAAACCCCCGAGGGTAAGTTAAAGTACGCAGGCGTACGCAATGCACGCGCACACAAGAACACCGTACACGTGTATACGGCAGTGTACTCACGCGCGCGCGTACGCACGGCACGGAGGAGGAATGCATCATCTATCCACGACCGCCGGGGCCGCCTTCAAATCCGCCCGGCGCGCGCTCTTTATTTGATTGCGCGCGTGCAGTGCGCGTCGGGTGCGAGGCCTATTCATCGTTGTGGTTATTCATAAATATGTATTGCCGTTGCGATTATTGATAACGACGGCGGTGGTGGAAATGTTGGTTGATGATGTGGAGTGACGTTGGGGGGGGGGGGGAGAAGAGACGGTCGGCTGCGCGCGAAGACGACATCACCCGCGCGCGTGCCAGTTGCAACGTCCGTGCGTGCGCCGATTTGATGTATTATTAACACTCAATGTTATTATTATTATTGATGGTGTTGATGAGTGATGATGCCGGCGGCGGCGGCGGCGGTGATGATGATGACGACGAGAGACGGGTGACGGCAGAGTCACATCGGCGTGTCCGCGGCTCGGACGCGAGAGACGCGGCGCATCTGATGCGGTACTCCGTGCCCGGTGCTCACCGAAGCGGTGATCGCGTTTTTGGGCGGGCGAGGAGAGCCGCTCGCGGCGTACAACTGCGAGACTCGAATCGCGGCGCCGCGGAACGGACGGACGGACGGAGCGAGGCTCCAACGCGAGAGAGAGAGAGAGGGGGGAAGAGCGATCAAAGGGCGTCTCGACTCGACCAGATTCGCGCCCGCGAATTGAATTAAATCTCGGTGTACGTCTGTGTATTATCTGGTTTGTGTCTGTCTGTGTCTTGTCTTGTCTGTGTGTGTGCTACTGGCCAAGCACCCCCTCGTGTGCCGTGCCGGCCTTCATAGGTGCTCGCTAACAGCACTTGCCACAAAAGTCGGTTCAGGCTATTCGGAGGATCTTTTGTCTTTGTGTGTGACGCTGTCTGTGTGGGGAGCGGTGGCGCAGCGGTTTGCGCACTGCGCTACGAACATGGCCAACCCGAATTTGGTTCCCACTCACCACCAATAACAGTGGCGAATATCTGGACCGGTCCTGCCCCCCCCCCGCTCCCTATATCAACTCAGTCCCAAACGAGTACCTGGTGCGATGTGTAAGCATCTGCCACGAGGGAGACAAAGGCGGCCGGACGTGGTGCTGGCCACCCAGCCTCTCGTGTGCCGTTCCGATCCTTCATAGGTGCTCGCTAACGGCACTGGCCCCAGCAGCCTATTCATGCTTTATCTTTGCGTTGCCTGTCGATATGAATGCCAATCTATATCCGCAGCACGCAGACACACTCACGTAAGTATGCGTACGTGCCTCGCGCAATTGACCGCGGTGTAGCGGTTGTAATAAGGTTGAATACAATTTACTACGTTCACGTTAATACGTACACGTTACTACATGCATACACGTATAACATAGATAAGAGAAAGATGCTCCCGTATGGCCAACTGCACAGGCTGTTGTTAGACGGGCAAGTGCTCTTAGCGAGCACCTATCAAGGCTGGCACGGCACACGAGGGGGTGTGGGTGGCCAGCCCAGACAGACAGACACGCACGCGCGCGCGTACACGTTCGAGTGCCAATTCCATTGCTCGTCGCGAACTACATATTTGCCCCCTACGATCCATCGCGTGAAACGTCCGCGCCACTTAGCCGGGCAATTGTTGGGGGCCTGCGGGCGACAAAAAAAACCACGTGCGACCGGGGCAGTGTTGACCAATTGCCACTCGAGATACGGACAAATGTTAGCAACTTACGAAAGGGGGTGCGGGGTGGACAACACCACGCCCGGCCGCCTTTGTCTCTCCAGTGCTGGTATTTGCACACCGCGCCGGGTTGTTTGCTCAATCTACTGCCGTGTCGATCTAGGAGAGGCCCAGGATCGGCTCAAATATCAAATATCCACCGATGTTTATCGGTCGCGAGCGGGAACCGAACTCGGGTGGCCGGGTGCGTCAGTACGCTAGCCGCTACACGCACAAACACGTACACACGTGTGTCAAAAGTGATATTATATAATTATTTACACATCACTATGCGGCATCCGTCGACTGGTGCATCCCCCCCACCACCACCAGCACACCCCGTACCACACGAGGCGTCGCGTAAAAGCGCTGTAGCACGAAAACAGAGCCCTCTGAGACTGCGTTTGTTTGTTGTTGTTAAAGTTTGTGAAGATAATATTCGGTGGTCTTGTCGCTTCTTTTGCGGATACGCAGTGTTGAAACGAAAGGAATTTTTTGTTGTACACATATAGTAGGATATATGCTTGCCACCGGTATTGCCATTCATCGGCTGTGTAACACGGCGGGAGCCATTTTCTGAATAGAGGACGCGCAGCGCCGATGAGTGACGCGCGTTTGGGAATGTCATGTTGGCTCGCTGCTTATGTCAGTGTCCGGTAACCTATCGGGTCGTATTGCTGCTGCTGCTACTGTCTATCGAGCGCATTACTTATCTTCACCAAGTCGAGTATAATTCACCCGGATATTAAGTTTTCATCGGTGCCGTTTTGCGTGCTTTTGTGCGTGTGGTTTCATTTGCTGTCGAGAACGCTTGCACCTCGCGGTAGGAGTGCACGTCACATCTGAAGGAAATATACAAGTTACGGCCCGCGCAAAGGCGATGATAAAGTTACATGTTCTATACCTTTGAATCAGAATTAAAATGTATATTTATACTGGAGGAATCCGATAAGCTGTGAAGCTGTGTTTCACAGATGTTTAGTAAGGGGCTGGTAAGACCGTTACAATAACAAACAATATAAAAAAGCGATCGTTGTGCAAATTACAGCAAAGGCAAACACGTCGCCCAAACACATACGAATTACGCTTAACCATCGCCATCCTACCAGTCAAAGCCCATCGAGGTATTGACTTATTTTTCAGATGCATCGTTTGGCAGGGGTCCAATCAAATCAGGCGTAAATAAATATTACAGCGGGGAAAAAAACGGTGAGAAAGAATGTCAGAAGTATTTTGGGAGAGTGTGGATGTGTGTGCCAATAATGTTTGCGTATTGCTTGAGTGAGTTAACAACACCTCCTCCCTAAGCAATCACGTGTCGTTGAAAATCTGGCGACAAGTAATTGCAAAAGAAGATGCTGCTTTTTGTTGTTAACTTCTGAAAAAAATGTTCGGCACCGATACTTGAAATTAACAAAAAATCACCGTCTGGCGTCGTAGTTTTAATTATTATTTAAAAGGACAAACTAGCAGTTAAGCTGCGGCAAATTAACACAAAAAAATTTAAGCCGGATCAATTAAACAATGTAATGTATTCACCTCCGGCTACTCGCCGTAAAATAATTAATAAATGCGCGCATAAAGGAAAGGGTCACGTGGTTGGCGCGACTGACGTGGTTTTTCCGCAGTGCGGAGGTTTTCGGGCCGGGGGGGGTGGGTGGAGATGGAGGTGGGGGCATAGAGGGTTGCTGGTAGTGGTGGTGGTGGTGGAGGGGCGATTTGGTGGTGGCCGAAGCGCGCGCGGTGGGATCCGGGGTCGCTCGAGGTACGGCTCCCCGCTACGCAGTCCCGAATAGCGCGCGCCTGTGCGCAAGCGACAGCCGGGGCACCACGCAGCGACGAATTCTCTGCTGCGTGGCCCTCGCAGTCCGCACGCCACGACCGCGACGCTCATCCTTATTCGTCATCACGGGTTTAACTCGACTTTATACATCGGTGCGTGTCGCTGTAGAAAGAAAATCGAGTGCAACGAGCAACGAAAATCGATTGTCTAGATGTGGGGCGGTGGGGTGGGTGGGGGGTGTTTCTCGAACGACGGGGAGAAAACGGGCTCTCTCTCTCTAAAGACAAATGACGTGTACAGGAGCTCGGTGGATGCGTGGCGGGCACGTCAGGACGGCCGGGTCGAGGTTAGCAGGCAGCCGTCCGCAAAGAAAATGGATCTGGCGTGGGACAGCGCGTTTCGTGTTTGTCCACAGCTTCGAACGTTCGGGACGGGGGGGTGGGGCTAAACCGAATCGCGGTTGAAGTGTTAAGAGGCTGCCGTCTGTCTGTGTGCAAAAAAAAAAATCTGTATTGCGACCCACCAAATTCGCCCGCCGCCTCTGATGAGCACCGTGGGCTACGTACGGCGCGAAAGAAGTTCAACATACAGTGTACAGTAGTACATCTTGCCTCTCGATACCCAGAAGCCTTCTCACGAGGAGGTGGTGAGGGTAGTCGTGATTAGTCCCCGACTCCAGCAGGCCTCGTGTGTCCGGCCGCAAATCCGATAGCGCGCTCAACATCGTCACCATCATCATCATCGTCGTCGTCGTCGTCGTGAGACAACGTCCGTGAGACGACGTCGCGGAAACATTGGCGAAGTGAGTACGAGAGGAACCAGGACGCGACGTGATTGTGATGGGGGTCCGCACGGTGACCGTCTGTCCCCGTGCCTCCCAACCACCACCACCACCCTCCCTCGGCTTCCTTCCTGGCGTACACCCTCCTCCTCGTCATCCTCCTCGTCCTCCTCCTCGCCACCACCGGCCCCCCGCCCTCCACCCGCTGTGGTTTTGGCTCGCCTACCCTGTAGGTACGACCTTGCGTGTCCCCAATGCAGGTTTGCAAGGTTGTGACTACAGCGTACGCGACGCCACGAACAATGTCTGCGCTCGCCAGGCGGGGTGGGTGGAAGGAGGAGGTGCAGCTGAGAGCCGCGTCCACACCGCCACTCGTACACTCACCAACATCGCCCGCTACACAACCACCACCACTCACCAACCTCGCCCGCTACACAACCACCACCTCACCTGACCTCACCACCTCACCTCACCCCTTCCACAACTACCACTTACCAACCTCACCCGCTACACAACCACCACCATCTCCACTCACCAACATCGCCCGCTACACTACCACCACCACCACCACCACCTCACCTAACCCCCTACACAACCACCACCACTCACCAACATCGCCCGCTACACAACCACCACCACCTCACCTCACCCCCTACACAACCACCACCACTCACCAACATCGCCCGCTACACAACCACCACCACTCACCAACCTCGCCCGCTACACAACCACCAACTCACCTCACCACCTCACCCCTTCCACAACTACCACTTATCAACCTCAACCGCTACACAACCACTACCAACCACCCCTCACCTGCTCCATAGCTCTCAACCACGAACAACCACATCGCTAACCACCACCAAACAACACAACCAACCACCCAGTCAGTGGGGCGGCTCTCGAGTACGCAGGCGGTGCAACTGCGTTGAGGCCCACAGGCCGGAAAGGCATCGGGCTACGAAATGGATAGTGGGGAGGGGGGGCTCTCAATGAATATCACACCGCCCCCCCCCCCTATGATAACCACGCATCAACATTGCACCTAACCAACAAACACGCGACCGGATCAGCCAAAGCAACCCAGACGGCGCAAGATAACGAAGCAGACAACCTGAACGACAAGCAAGGACCCAACTAACAGATCGAGGACGCCAGCTAGACGTCTCCTCACCAGCCGAGCAATCTCAACTGAGCAAGCAAGCGACAGAATGGAGCCGACACAACGAGGCAATAATGTCAGCCAAGCAACTTAACCGAGCAACCAAATCCACCATCAAATCTAACGGAGTCAACCACTCCAGACAAGCCGCCCGTCAAAGCAGCCGAACTATCCCGAGCTTACCAATCGATAAACCCCAATAACCAACCCAAACTAACCTTCCCAAGCAACCAAAGCAGATCAACTCAGCCCTGTCGAACCCGGCATCGCAAATCATCAAACTCGAACAGCAGACGCAACGATAGCCTCACCAGGCAGCCCAGGTAATCAAAACAAGCGACTTAACACAATGCGCAACTAACTAACCCGAGCGACGAAACTAATCGACGAACCCAACCAATCGGACAAGAAACTCAACTAAGCAACCCTAGAAACTTAATCCGAATCGACCCAACATCAAATCCAACTCGGAGCCAACCGCCGTAACTCGGTCAACAAATCAAAGTGGCTACCGCGAGCAACGAAACGCAGGCAAACCAACCCACCGTGTAGACTGACCAAGCGAACGTTTAACCGAGCAACTTAACCAACTATACCTAAACTGGAAAAAACAATTCAACCATAAACAATAAACCCAGCATGTTCGGTGAAAGCATCAACCAAATCACGAAACCCAAGCACGCAACCCACCCACGCAACCTAAACACGCAACCTAAACACGCAATCCGACCCACGCAACCTGCCAATACAAAGTATAACCGCACCAATCCCAAGCAAATAAATCGAACAAACCAAACGCAAACATTCAACCGAATTCAACCAATAACCAAGCTACTCGCAACTAACCATCCGAACGCTACCAAATCACTACCGAGCTGTACTGAGTTGAAGATAAGGTCACACACAGTCGCACCGTCTCTACACAAAGACAGATATCCCCCGTATAGCCTTTACAGGATAAGTGCTGTTAGCGAGCGCCTATGAAGGCCAGAACGGAACACGAGAGAGTGGGCGACTCGCACCACGCCCGTCCGCCTTTGTCTCCCTCGTGGCGTACTATTACACGTCGCACCAGGTACTCATTTGAGGCTGACTCGACCGAGGAGAGGCCCACGAACGGTTCAGATAATCGTCGCTGGTGTTGACCGTGAGCGAGCATCGAACTCGATGTGGCCTACCTTCGGAGTGAAGTGGGCTAACCACTGCGCTACCGCTCCCCGCATCGGTTACACACACGTGCGTACACGTACGTACACAAACATGCGTACACGTGCGTACGTACGCGAAAGATGATTACAACCGCGATATTGGTCGTACAATTCTGTCGGTTACACTAGTTGGGCAATGAAGTCAATAGCCCCGGGATGTTAATAACAACGACACAAAATATAACAGTATTTTCTAAAATATATACAGTATATAGTTGTTGGCATAACAGCGTATCATAAACTGCAATTGAGATGATGTAGAGATTTTGTACAATAGGTAAGCCTGCTAATTGTGCATAGGCTATGTGTGTATATGTGTCTGTTTAAGGCACATGTCCCAACAGTCTGCTAAGGCTTCATGGGGGATCTTTGTCTTTGTTAACGGCTGTGTGGTGTGGGGTAGTCGTGTAGCGGAAATCGTGATGCGCTACGGACCCGGCGACGCGAGTTCCATTCCCGCTCAAGGTCAAACATCGCTGACGAATATCTGAACCGATCTAGGGGCCTCCCCTAGGTCGGCTCAGTTGTGACATTAATACTTGGTGCGGTGTGTCGTCAACATCGGGGCACTGGGCAGACAAAGGCCGCCGGGCGTGGTGCTGTCCACCCAGCTCCTCGTGTGCCGCGCTTGCCTTCATAGGTGCTCGCTAACAACGCTTGCCCCTACGGTCTGCTGAAGGGCTATACGGGGGTGGGGGGATCATTGCCTTTGTGCGTTGTCTGTGTGGACTGGCGTTACATCGGGGGTGGGGATGCAATCTGTTTTGGGTTTTCGTTCGATAAGAAAAAAATAATCGAATTAAATGTGTTCCGACTGAACTTACGACAAAGCCTGTCCGTCATTTCATTTTACATCCAACTGCAACGCGTGTTGAGCCATATGTGTATTTCTTTTAACGGTGGGATTTTAAAAAAATGGCTACAGTATATATCGCAAACTTAATTGCAACATTTAAATACACAGATTTACCATTGTGCCCAGACACATTTTACGGACGACTCCTGTAGATAGTTTCGCGTGTGTGTGTGTGTGTGTGCCGACTCAAGGTCTTAAAGTGGAAGAAATAAAGACAGCGAATTGAAAGATGCGTTTCATTTACCGTGACGTGGCAGGTGGTCCAACTCTTTATCGAGATATTCGCTGACGCAGAACGACCGCGTTGCGTCCCGTCGGTCGGTTGCCAGGGGTTCGTCATTTCGGTTGCAAGCAACATCACCCGTGCGTTCGACTACCGAGCTGTCGGTCAACTTGTTGCGACTTGTGTTGACAAGTCTGGGGACAATTCTGCTGCTTCTGCATAGAACCGATCAGAGAGCCTTTAGGCGTCTCGGGTCGCTCGACTTTCTTGAAGCGTCGTCTATCGCTGCCGTTTACATTGTTGTCGTGGATATTGTTTGTTGCCGCTCGTAATTGTTGCTGTTGTTGGGAACTGGAAGGCCCCCCCGGGGAAAGGCCACCCGATGTCGGAAGGGCTCCGTAGGAAGGCCACTCGGCCATTTCACAAGCAGCGCGCGCGGCGCGTGATGGCGATGCCTCGAGAACGCTGCACGGCCGACGGCGAGCGGGGGTCGCCAGGTGTCGCTGTGACATCGCCTCTTCGTGTGTCACGCGCACCGCGATCATCTGCGGGCTCCATGCCCCCCCCCCAACGAGCCTCCACCATCTTGGGGTGTCGGCTCGCGGCCACCAAGCAGCAAAGATATCGTGGAGGTGGTGGTGGAGAGGGGGAGAGAGATCAACAGACCTCCACGTCGAAAACAAACTTCACGTTGTGCGCACAAACAGTGCAAAAGTCACAACAGCGCCGAACTCGCCACTTCGCATCCAAACTCATCCCCCGGGCTGCTGCCTTTCGTTTTCTACCGGGGGGGGATGAGGGAGAAGGGGGGGGGCATCGCGGCGTCGTTTCGTATCGGTCGATGATTTCGGTCACCTTCCGTAGAAGCGTCATCCTCCGTCTCAACACGGGAGAGACGCACGCCATCAAAAGTATACATTGCTCTCCCCCCCACCTCCCCCCCAAAAAAAGAATCGAATGAAATTAATGATCTTTTTTTGCTGTTGCTGCTGCGCGAATCAATCCTCTGGACGGGGCCCGGGTACTTTGCATTTGCCTTCTCTCCGTGCGAGGAGGAGAGCGTTGCCTCCCCACAACTGCGCGCGGTGGCCGGCCTCGGGATGATACCGGCCGGAAGGTCCTCTTGCGGGTTGTACGGGCAGCAGCATCAGCAGCAGCATCAGCAGCAGCATCAACACCAACAGCATCAGCACGTCTCGGTGGGCGGTCGTGTCGCGGCGCAGGAGACGAATCCTCTCGCGACTACAAGCGGGACGGCATCGGCAACAGCGTCTCTCTGTGTTCCTAAAGCGGCGGCAGCAGCCCTCGCTCTGGGTAGTGTCCAGCAGGCAGTAGCAGCAGCAGGACGTCGAGACGAACGCGGCAACAGCTGCAACAACAACAACAGCAGCAGCAGCAGCGGCGGCGGCTTCGGCGGCTTCGGCAGTAACGGCGCCCTGCGAGGCGCTGCGACCGCCCTGCAAATCCGCGCCGCTCCTCGGGGTGCCGCGGAGTGTCTCGGGCCAGTGGCGGGGCCCGGAGGGTCGCATGGAGCTCCAGAGTCGGGGTCCCATGTGGTGGTGGCCGCAGCGATAGGAGTAGCGGCGACGGGAGGCCGACAACAGCAGGAGCAGCAGCAGCAGCAGCAGCGTCAGCATCGAGAGGAGCAGCAGCACCAGATTTTCCCTTGGATGAGGAGGTCGCATCAAGCTCAGGGTAGGTAGGCTGGTGCGTGTGTTACACTCGTCGTATATAGGTAAACAATAACCCCGCGCAGCTTTTGTTTGTAAGAGCAATAAAACAGAGAAGTGTGTGGGGGGGGGGGGGGGGGTGATAGTGGCAGCAAGGACGTGTGATCTTCCACGACGCACGGGTGTTTACGTCGAATAATGGTAGGCGCGTCCACCCCTGTTTCTTTTTTATATGGGCTATATAATGCTTCTAATGCTAGATACTATAAACGACGGAAGAAGGAGTGCTTTGATCAGAGTTAAGATAGAGGGGGTACTCGTTTGTGGTGGTTGGTGGTGGTGGCTGTGGTTGTTGTGTCGGCAATGTAATGATATGTATATATATGTACACACGTGCGCGTTTAGTTACATGCTGATCACGAGAATAATCATGCACACGGCAACATGGACAGCATAGCCAAGAACACGTGCGCTTCAAAGTAAGCACGAATTGTTAAACTGACGAATTGTGCTGTCAGTTTAGTCGCTTTCACTGAAACTTGAAAAGCAGGTAAGAATTATATTTTGTAAAAATCCCTAAGTTTTGCTAATAAATAATCATTACGTTTGCACGTGATACACGTATATGCAAGCTTCCTATGTAGCGAATGTTTGTGGATTATGGTTGTGTTGTCTGGTATTTGTGTGTGTTTTGTATATCTAGGTGCACCTAGCCTGGCACAAGCACCGTGGCGTCGTCACTGCCACTTCGTGTTGTTGTGTTTAAGTGTTGTTGTAAACTTTAGCTTTAAAATGTAAAAGTTTACATTGTTCCAAACTCGCGCAAATAAACGTTTAGCTACTTAGAACCCCACCAACACCACCACCCACACCACCAACACCACCACAAACAGCACCACCAACAACAAGACGAGCAACAACAGGAGACAATTGGAAAGTTCAACATTCAAAAGTTTATTTTAAAGTGCGCTCACGTACAAGCATCAAGTGGCGTTATATTGGTCAACTGAGCAACGCGATTTCACATCACAATCACCGTCGACACCCTCCTTCAGTTTTAGAAGAATTCGTTCTACTTATAAAGACAAAAATCCCCCGTATAGCCGTAACAGACTGTCGGGGCAAGTGCTGTTAGCGAGTAGCACGTATGAATGGCGGCACGTCACGCGAGGGGGTGGATGGACAGCACCAGGCTCAGCCGCCTTTGTCTCCCTAGTGGCGATGATACACACACAGACACGTACTGTACGCTTAAAAGTAAAAACATTTTTTTACTGACTGCAAAGAGTATCATATGTGAGTTGATTATTTACTAAAGCGAGTTTAGTCGGGAAAAAAAGTTGCAGCCAACAGTCCCGTTTATTTTAAACGAAGCACGTGTTAATTACAACTATAATACCATTGAATTGGTTATGGTGACGAGTGGTATCATTAAGTTAAGTGTTGTATTATGGCGAAAAATATTGTGTCAGTGTGTAACTCTTCACTTCTGCTCGAGAGCTCTCCAAACGAGAAAAGTGCCGGGCTTAACTCTACACCTCAGTGCAGGCAAAGGGCGATGTGGCGTTATGAATGAGACATTTACTTGAACCACGTAACAACAAAAAAACACTTAACTATGGAAACGTTTACACAATGTCATTAAATATTTATGATAATTACAACAATATAAATGTGAGTTTAATATATATATGCAGTATTCCTGATCAAATTACTTTGCACGCATACAGAGGCTATAACAGTAAGGCCCCGACATAACGTGATATTATCACCATCATGCACCGTCTTCCTTTCGTGTCCAATGAATATACCGGGTACATTATACACATATCGTGCAGATGTTACAATTCATTTAACATTGAGCAAAAACTGTCCTATACGCTATTCTGTAAGACCGTGTTTGAAGGTAAATACATAATTACATTGGTTCAAGTAAACCTTGTGTGTATATATATACATATATGTATACGTGTGTATGTGTGTGTTCATAGGTGCTCGCTCACACCACTTGCCCTTATATTCTATTAAAGGCTTTACGGGGGACCTTTGTCTCTTCATGTATGTACCGTACATCTATGTTGTGGGGAGCGGTGGCGTAGTGGTTTAAATGCAGGTCAAATATTTGAACCGATCCTGAGTCTCCCTTTGTCGGTGTGAGAAAAAAACAAATCAATTACTGGGAAGACAAAGGCGGCCGGGCATTTTGTGGCCAAACCACCCCCTCGTGAGCCGTGCGCGCCTTCATAGGTGCTCGCCAACAGAACTTGCCCCAATAGCCTCTTAATGCTATATGGGGGACCTTTGTCTTTTTGTTGTCGGTGTGTGTATATATTTAGTTTCCTGAGGAAGGGCAGACTGCAGATTTATCAAAATCTGTTCCTGTGAGCCAGACACTTTGTTATTATTTTTTTTTAAATAAATATTTTTGGCGTGTGAAAGCTGTAGGTCGACTCAGCTGAAAACCAGTACCCGCTGTCATGCGTGTGTCATCATCACCATCATCACCACCATCATCACCATCACCACGATCATCACCATCATCACCATCACCACCATCATCATCACCACCATCATCACCATCACCACGATCATCACCATCATCACCATCATCACCACCATCACCACCATCATCACCATCATCACCACCATAATCATCACCATCATCACCACCATCACCACCATCATCATCACCATCATCATCACCATCATCACCACCATCACCACCATCATCACCATCATCACCAACCATCATCACCATCATCACCACCATCATCACCATCATCATCACCACCACCATCATCACCACCATCATCATCATCACCATCATCACCACCATCACCACCATCATCACCACTATCATCACCACCATCATCACCATCATCACCACCATCATTATCATCACCACCACCATCACCACCATCATCACCATCATCACCATCATCACCACTATCATCACCATCATCATCACCACTATCATCACCACCATCATCTTCACCATCATCACCACCATCATCATCACCATCACCACCACCATCACCACCATCACCACCACCATCATCACCATCATCACCACCATCACCACCATCATCACCACCACCATCACCACCATCACCACCACCATCATCACCACCACCATCATCACCACCACCACCATCACCACCACCACCATCACCACCACCATCACCACCACCATCACCATCATCACCATCATCATCATCACCACCACCATCACCACCATCATCACCACCATCACCACCACCATCATCACCATCATCATCACCATCACCACCATCATCACCATCATCACCACCATCATCACCACCACCATCATCACCACCACCATCATCTTCACCATCATCACCACCACCACCATCATCTTCACCACCATCACCACCATCACCATCACCACCATCACCACCATCACCATCATCACCATCATCACCACCACCATCATCATCACCAGCAGCAGCAAATGGGGCTCGGCGTGCCTGTGGCCGAGGGCATCACCCACTCCCATCGTGCACTGCGCGGCCCTTCATAGGTGCTCGCTCACATCACTCGCCCCCAAACAATTCTCTTTGGAATTTGGTTTAACACGTCGCCTTGGAATTGTTAAAATGAAGGTGTAGAGAGAGGGCTGTGGCGCAGTGGTTAGTGCACTGCGCTATGAATCCGGCTACCTCGACATCCGCGGGCGCGGCTCACATCAGTGGCGAGTGATATCCGTAGATCGTCGTGGCCAACCCCCCCCAACCCTCTCCTACCGTCATTGCTCACCAATCCGCACTGACCGGCGTGGTGAAGTATGGTGGTCAAACAACGCGTGACGGACGCGGCGGTCAGAGAGGCCTTCATCCAGCAGTGGATTAACAGAGGGCTGGATGCGCTATTATACAATGAAGAGCGTGCAGCCCTGAGAGGGTGACTAGCGCAGACCATCATCGTAGCGAGTATTACAGGGGGGGCGCTGTAGTATTATCATTTATTTCATTTCTACGCACATTTCTATACAGTAATACCTCTTCTAAGACGCCTGGCCATCGTGGAAGAAGAGGCCATATAGCCACTCTTGAGGGCCCCCACTTGATGGAGTTTTCTCGTGGGCGCCCTATCGCCTGCAGCGGCGCGATTTGGCAATTGCACGGCTGCCCCTTTACATTGCAATTACTGAACAGCGCTGCACAGCACTGTGCAGGATCTCGAAGCAAAACCTGCAGACTGGGACCCAGAGGCTGAGTTGTTCGTGAGCTGGCGGGGAGAGCGAGCGAGGGAGCGAGAGAGCACGAGAGAGAGCACGAGAGAGAGCACGAGAGAGAGAGAGCAATGTTTATTGTCGCCCCCACCCCACCCCCATTCACTCCATCCGTACACAGAGGGCCAGGATTCACGACGAGCCCGTACCGCCTACTCGCGCTACCAGACACTGGAGCTGGAGAAGGAGTTCCACTTCAACCGCTACCTGACGAGGAGGCGCCGCGTCGAGATCGCCCACTCGCTGTGCCTCACCGAGCGACAGATCAAGATCTGGTTCCAGAACCGGCGCATGAAGTGGAAGAAGGAGACCCGGACGGGCGGAGGAGGTCCGGCGGCCGGACCTTCGCGTTGAAGGGTGTCGGGGAGCGAGGAGGGTGGTGCCCGGTGGAGGAGGGGGGGGGGGCTTTGCTTGGAAGCGGGGGGCTCCAGTCCAGGGTGGGTGTGTGTGGGGGGGGTCCTGTTGTTGCTGTGGCTGATGATGGGGGTGGGTGGGTGTTAGCGCGCTGCCACTACAAACCCGGCGGACCCTGGTTCGATTCCCGCTCAAGGCAAACACCAGTGACGATTATCTTAACCGGTGCCTGGCTCTTTGCCCCCCTTTGTCGACTCAGCCTCAAATGAGTACCCGGTGCGGTGTGTAAACATCGCCACTGGTGGAGACAAAGGCAGCCGGGCGTGGTGCTGAGCCACCCCCCCCTGGTTTGCCGGGCTGGCCTTCATAGGTGTTCGCTAACAGCACTTGCCCCAATAGCCTCAATAGGCTACACGGGGGACATTTGTCTTTGATGATGATGATGATGACGACGACGATGCTGCGTTGGCCTCTCTCTACCTCTGTGATAACATTCACCGGCACGTTCGTTGAGGTTGTCTCTTGCGTGACAATTGTGCGTGTGTGTCTTTATATGTGTGTATGTATGTGTGTGTTCGGGACTCCAGTCTGTTAAGGCTATACGGGGGATCTTTGTCTTGTGTTCGGATTGTGCGTGTTGTGTAGCAGCCCATGATGTGGAAAACACGTCGGGATGGATTCCCACGTCGAGGATCGTTCATTGTCAGCCTGAGTGGTTTTTTTTTCTTTCGGAGGCCAAATTTACTGAACTCTTTTGAATTAGTTTCGGCCGATTTCGTCAACATGGGAAAATCTGTGCCGTTCGCTTTCGAGCAGCTGGTTATACTTTCACTTGGAAAATGTCCACGTGCTTTTACTTTCGAGAGAACGAGAACACGGAGGTGCAGGGTGGGGGGATCGATGTTCAATTGACTCACTCACTCGAATCGCAGCTGACAATCGCCTCCCCACCACTTGAACGCGTGTCGCACTACGTTTGTATGTTTAGTGCGATAACAACAAAAAATTCACCCCGGTGAGGTCGGATCATCTCAGCTCGACGGTGGCCAATGTTGACGCCTCCACGAGGCTCGTGGTATCAATGGTCCGACGAGTGACAATTGAACTGTGTAATGTTTTTTTTTGTCATGTTCGTTTAAAAATAGATATTTTTTCACTTACTACTTCCGGCACTGCTAGAGTGTTTCATTTTCAGCACGTTTTTTTTTATTTGGAGCGCAGTACGTTCACAATTCGTTGTTTTTTTTTTGGGTTGTTGTGAGTACTCACGCCTCTCCATGTAACTTCCGGTGGGCCTCTGCACACGGCCTCTTGCTTATTAAACCCCTGGTGTTGTTGTTGTAGTCGTCGTTGTTGTGGTTGACGCATTCACGTCAAGTGTAACCTCTGTCGAGTAGGCAATTAGTGCGTTTACCTTGATGCAATTATGTGTAATAAGTGCCAATGTGGCCGCTAAACAACCAAAGCCAACCCTTTACGTCTAGGCCGCAAGGAGCCTTTTAATACCCGAGGTATAGGGAGGGTTAAGAGTTCGGGTTTAGCGGTAGGGTTACAGTTTGTATTGTTAAGGTTCAGAGGTGTGGTTAGAGTTTGGGTTAGGGTTTAGAAGTAGGGTTAGGGGTTGTGCTGTTAGGGTTTAGAGTTACCGTTAACGTGATAGGTTTGTGCTGCGTTATACGTGTAGGGTTAAAGTTGGGCTATCAGGGTTATGACGAGAGTGCAATGGTCTAGGTGAGGCTGTGGCTGGGGTTGGGTTCCGGTTGGGTTCGTCTTAAGGGCACGGCTTAGGGTTATTCCAGAGTTATGGTTATTGTTTGTAATTAATGGTTAATATTAAGTTTATAGTTGGGCGCTAGGATTAGACTGTACTGCTATAGATCACTGTAGAGTTAGGGAGAATGTTAGGGTTGGGGTTATGAGGTGGAGTCGGGTTAGAGTGTAGCATTATAGTTAGAGACGGAGCTGTGTTCGGTTTCAGGTTTTTTTTTAGGAGGGGGGGGGGGTTAAGTTATGGCCAGGGTAAGGTCTCAAGGGTATTCTTCACTGCAGTTAGACCTACGTAGCAAACATGATACAGTATGATCCATTTATGAATACTCAAAACATTTAAGCGAGAAATGTACATAGAACACGACGTTTCATTTTGATCCACCAAATCTCAATGCACCTTATCAAATGTAGTTAGCGATCTCCTTCCTTCGTACGACCATGGGAGCCTTCTCGCTTTCGCGAATATCCAAACGGCCTTTGTACTGTGCTAAGCGAGAGAGAGGGAGGGAGAATGTACGAGGCATGTTGGAAATCAGTGGGGTATCTGTGAATGGATCGCCCTGCATGATGCTCCCGGCACTGAAGAGGGTCCGTAGGATCAGGGTTCAACGTCGCTCTTATATATGTCGCTAATAGCTTTTGTTTTGTGCAATGCCATTGGCTAATAGCGATTAGCTGGCTACCCTATCTTTTTTTTGCCAGTATTTAATGTATGAAAAAATATAAGATCAGGGTTTGCCCTTTCTGGCACTACCGAAAGAACTAAGAAGATGAATCCCTGCAGTCACGAAAGCTTTAAATAGAAAAAAAAAACTAAAACAGGTGTTAAGATGTTCAAACACCAAATATAAACATCTTAGCGAGGCATCCTGTGGTGCATTGTCTTTGTACTGCTCGACAATTTGGTGTTCTCTGGCCTGACGCTGGTGGGACTAGGCCCTATAGAAGGCTGTCTCTCTGGCGTAGGCCAATCAGTGTTAAAGACAATGCATTTATTATAATTATCAGCGCATGTTTTTGCATGTTCACCACAAGTACGTGTGGTGAATGCAGACACGATTCCTTGCAAAAAAGGTTTCTATTTGGTGCTTGAACATATTAACTAACACCTGTTGTTGTATTGCCAGAAAGGGTAGAACCTATTCTTATTTTTTCATATCCTATCTCTGTGTTTGTTCAAGCGCCCCGTTCTTCGATTGCGGCGCGTATTATATCCCCGCGATGTACGAAGGAGACACGTTTGTTAAACAAGGTACGCGTGGCATATGCAGTGCGTTAATTGGATATGTCACAACGGTAATAATTCGTAGTAACAATAATACAAGTTTATATTGTGTATTTAAGTACTGTATTAGCCAGTTTACTGTATCAACCTGTCGACTCACAATTACGAATGACACCGAACTCGCTGACAGCGAGTCCTGAACTCAGGTGAACTCAGCTGATCGGTGTGGCATGAAGCAAGGTCGTGAATGATCCTGTGCAGCGCACGTGGTCTGGAAATATTCCCCCACCTCTCTCAGATGTTCGTGCAGTCGACTCAATGCCCCCTGTTCTTCAACCCAGGCTCAAGGCCTTTATTTTCCTCTTGTTATGATCGACTCTCTCTCTCTTCTCTCTGCTACATACCAGATCGTGGTTGTTCGGCGTGACGTCCGGCGTTTCGCTCCACTTGCCGGGGGTAGGTGGCGAGATGTTAACTACCTCGCCTGGTATACAGGAGGTACGTGGATTCGATCTCGACCCTGACGCCTGCTGAGTTCGCATCTTCCCCCCGTGGTGGTGGCGTGCATTTTTTCTCCGGGTCCTCCGGTTTTCCCATTCACATTTATACAACACGCGTTCAGAGTATCTGTCTGCTGTACATTTGCACCGTGATAAGCCACTTGGTTCAGCTATAGTTTGTGATAGCCAGGTCGCTTCTGAAAAAGAGCGATAAATATGTATAGCTCAGTTGGCCTTGCCTGGTAAAGTAACAATAGTTTTAGTTTAGGGTGTCTTCAGCCAAACGCCGGGGAATTCGCCTCGAGCCCGCACTACGCGCGTTTACGATCCGAAAAACAAACCACATCAGAGAGAGAGAGAGCGAGAGAGAGCGCTGTACTGTGGTTGCACTAACACCGCTGTCTCCGTGAAACGCATACACGTGCTCGTGAATGTCCTCGACCGGTCGTCCATTGTTGGTCACCGCGGACACGCGGTCGCGTTTGTAGGCGTCACGTGACGAGGCGTGCGCTGTGACGCGGCCCCGCGCGCGTTGTTACCCCGTCGCTCTTTGGAGGCGTTCACGCGGAGTTCACGCCGCTGTCAATCCATTCACCCGGTGAACACAGCGGCTGCCGCTCGCTGCTGCCGATGCTGCTCCTTCTTCGCGATTCGTTGGACTAATTCCACTCCGGGCCAGAGCAATAACAACAACACCAACAACAGCATCAACAACAACAACATCAACATGGGCGAACGCATCGAACGTCGCGACGTAACGTTGGAGAGGAGGAGAAGAAGAATACATTTAACAAATAAATGTCATTTTTGTTCGTATGAAAACACAGGGCTCGTCCGCTTTCCATTTGTCTCTCGAATTACATGAGTTCACAGTAGCCACGTGTTCACGTGTTGTTGGGGAAGGGGGAGCGGTGGCGCAGTGGTTAGCGCACTGGGCTATGAACCCGGCTGGCGGACTTCGCTCACAGTGATTCCCGGGACACGTGTATGCAAGTACAGTATGTTGAACTTCTTTCGCACCGTACGTTAAGCGGCCGTGCTACTCGGCGAGCTTCAGTGGTGCTCGATATCAGGAACGGCTCCCCCCTCTTGCTTCTCTGCCGCCCTTTGCGAACCCGTGCTGTCGAGAGTGGTGAAGTATGGTTAAACACCCCCCCCCCTCCACCCGCATGACCGAGACAGCATGGGAAGACAGCATTTATCCAACAACAGCTTTGACAACGAACTTGTTGTGACAACATTACATATATGTAGGTGTATATATATACATGTATGTCTATATGGGAATATATGATACAGATCGAAGACGCTGCAATGTTGTCACTGGGGTGCAGCAACATTTGCTGACTTACATGCACTGTGTATAGTGCAGCACTTTATTTTGGAACAGGCGACCAAATAATTAAATAATAACTCATAATCGGCCGCATGCCAACTCACAGGGAAGCGGTTTCTCCCATGGCCAAAATAACTAAACGTTTAACAGCTAACTCCGCACTTACCAGCGTGGTGAGGTATGGTCGGGTCACTCACGTATAGTGTTGAGCTGAGTGGGGAGCGGTGGCGCAGCGGTTAGCGCATTGCTCGGCAAAACCCGGCGTGACGAGTTCAATTCCCGCTCACGACCAACTCACACAGTGGACGAATATCTGAGCCGCCCTTGGGCTCTCTCTGGGTCGATTCAGCATCAAATGAGAACCTGGTGCGGTGTGTAAAGTAAACAAAAAAGCAACGCTGGGGAGACAAAGGCGGCAGGGGATGTGATACCGGTCACACCACCCCCATCGCGTGCAGCTCCGGCCTCCATAGGTGCTCGCAAACAACACTTGCCCAACGGTCTGTTAAAGGCTATCTGGGGGGGGAGAGATCTTTGTCTTTGCTCCAGTCGAGAGTGGAGGAGGTAACGGGTGGAGAAAGAGGCGAGGTTGCACATGTTGTTATTATTATTTAAGTAGATCTACATCATTACGACTTTTTATGCCTTCTTATAGCAACGCCTACTTTACTTTACTTCGGTAATAACAGCGGTAAACAGCGTACATATATAAAACAAAGTTATTGTATTTAATTTCACCGCGTAACCTCACTGTTAGGATACATATATATATATAAGATAATAGTGTGCGTGGCCGATGGGAATGTGTTTAACACTGTAGATGTTTTATTTGTTTACGTGGAGAGACAAGTATGAGAAAAATTTACTGAATATTTATCGAGTTAATTGTCCTCTGCACAACGACCCTGATGAATATTGCGCGTGCAATACGCGACATCGTAAACATTCAAGTGTCGTAGACATCCCACGCGTAAATCATCGTCGAATTGGTACAAACGCAAGGCGCAGAGCTTCGTGATATTAATAGAGCAGTTCAAACATGTGTGTTACTACATCCATGATTTATTTAGTATGTGTGTATTACGCTTACACTTAAGCCTAATGCGCTATGTTGTACATACAGTATACAAGTTGACCTATGCAGTATCTATAATCGTGAAAGATGGCGGTGACTGACGCGAATCATCCTTCATCCAGTAATCGATTAATCACGACTGATGATGATGGTGATGATTGACGGCGACGATGTTGATGATGATGGTGGTGGTGCTACTACTCCACAACCCAAAGTTCCATTCCCGCTCACGGCCACCACCAACAACAACGACGATCGTCTGAACCGGTTGTGGGCCTCCACTAGGTCAACTCAGCCTCAAATGAGTACCTCGCCCAATGTGCAAACATCACCACTGGGGAGACAAAGGCGGCCGGGAGTGGTGCCGACCACCCAGAACCATCGTGTGCAGTGCAGGCCGTCATAGGTGCTGCTCGCTAACAGCAGTCCGTTAAAGCTTTGATGGGTGGATCTGTGTCTTTTTTAGTACTACCGTTAACGTGCATTAGTTAAACAGGCGGCGTAATCTAATAGCGGGAGAGACTCCCATAAATTCACTGGACATGAGATGCGAATACATTAACATCTCTTCACGAGCACAGTACAACGCGAGCAACGTGAACCCACAGACAGACAGAGGACGAGCTGCAACCGTGAAGCGGAACCCCAAACGAGCCGCTGCAAAGCGGAGAGACATTTGGCTCTTCGTAAACTAATCGATTCCAATTTAAATAGCATCGTTACATTCGCCTTGCGCGCGATATTAAAGATATATATTTAGCTTTAATATCGTTTAGTTGTTGTTATTATTAATATGTACTGTAACCGACATATAAGATACATAATTGTAACAAACATCTATTGGCTGCGTTTGGGTAATTATACGAGGTGGAGCGGTGGCGCAGCGGTTAGCGCACTGCGCCCTGTCTGTGCGTGTGCGTTGTGTGTGGAGTCCGGCGATCTCTGTACGAGTCCCGGCCGCAGCTACAACGACGTCGGCGGCGGCGTGATACCTCAGCCTGGTCCGCCCCTCTCCATTCACCATCAACTCGCACGCACCAGGCCGGGTGAAGTATGGTCAAACGAATTCCCCGTGACCAGCACGGCGTGGGTAGGCCTTCACGTCCAGCCATCCACGAAACGAAAATAATGGGACGTGGGGGTGAGGAATAGATTATAACCGACGATTCGGGCCATGGACCTTCGAGGTAGCAGAGATATAATAGCTCGTTCAGTAGATGACAAGAAGATGAAAATTATTATAATTTAATATCATTACTGCATTTCTATATGGATTTGCGTCCATGCATACATGTTGGGTAACAAAGACAAATATCCCCCTTATAGACGTTAACAGACTGTTGAGGCAAGTGCTGTTAGCGAGCAGCACCTATGAAGGCAGGGAACGGCACACGAGGGGGTGGGTGGCCAGCACCACGCCCGGCCGCCTTCGTCTCCCCAGTGGCGATATTTAAGAAAAACACCGCACCAGGTACTCATTTGAGGCTGAGTCGACCTAAGAGAGGCCCAGGACGGGTTCAAATAATCGTCCCTAATGGTGTTGGCCGTGAGCAGGAATTGAACTCGGGTCGCCGGGTTTGTAGCGCAGCGCGCTCACCACAGACACACACACACACACAGATACACACAGACACACACACAGATACACACACACACAGATACACACACATATATACACACAGAGGTACACACAGATACACACAGACACACATATACACACAGACACACACACAGATACACACAGAGACACACACAGATACACACAGAGGCACACACACATATACACACAGATACACATATACACACAGACACACAGATACACACAGACACACACACATACCACCACAATAACAGCCTTCGCGGTTACGATTTGTCACGGCATTCTAAGTATGCGGCATTACATAAACCAAACCACTGCGCCTGGGAAGAGGAGATGTGGAAATGTGGGTCGTGTAGTGTGCGTGTGCGTGTAGGGTGCACGTGTGTGTGTGTAGGGTGCACGTGTGTGTGTGGAGCGGTGGTGCAGTAGTTAGCGATGCCGCACTAAGACCCCGTGACGCGTCCAATTCGACTCCAGGGCCGCGGCGAACATCAGTGGCGAGTGATGTCAGAACCGGTGCTGGGTCACCTCCCCTTTGCGCCTACTCATTTTCAATTGAGTACCTGGAGCGGTGTGTGTGCGTGTGTGTGCGTGTCCTACAAACAGTCCTGGTAAGACAAAGACGGCTGGGCACTGTACTGGCCACACGATCCCCTCCTGCACCGTGCCAGTTTTGCCTAGGTACTCGCTAACAGCACTTGCCCGAACAGCCTGAAAGAGCCTTTACTGGGTATCTTTATCTTGTGTGTGCATGTCATCGTCGATGGGGAGACAAAGGCGGTCGGGCATGTTACTGGCCACCCACCCACCTTCGTGTGCCGTGGCGGCCTTCATAGGTGCTACCCGCTAACAACACTTGCCCCAACGGTACATTGAGGCTATGCGGGCTATCTTTGTCTTTGGCAATCTCTCAGAAAAGGGGGGGGTGGGATGGTGGAAGCTGGGGGCGACCGTACAAATGCGGTTTCTTTTAAGCGGTCGAGGAAAAGGAGAGGGAAGAGAAAGAATCCGAGGATGGTTGGGGGAATAAAATAAATAAATAAACTCGGTTGAAAGAATTAAAAAGGGGGAGCGAAATTGCCCCAGGACCATATAACAGCTTGAGCTGCGAGCGTCGCTTCTTCTGTTCGGAGGCTCCGGCGTTTCCGCCGTAATTGCTTTATGGAGCTATTAAGGCGACATACCGGGCCGCTTTTATAGCTGCGAGTCGCATTGTGTTGCCTGCCCACAAGGCGACAGAGTGCCCCCCACCCCCCTCCATAAAGCAATTTCGCGTGGAGACGGAGGCCCGCATCAGGGAGATCAGAGCGCACCACCGAGAAGAAGCCATAAACACGCGCGCCTCTGCGTGGTGTGTGTCTCTGTGTGTGTGTCTGTGTGTGTCTCCTGTGTGTGTGTCTGTGTGTGTGTCTGTGTGTATCTGTGTATGTGTCTCTGTGTGTGTGTCTCTGCGTGTGTCTGTGTGTGTCTGTGTGTGTGTCTCTGTGTGTGTGTCTGTGTGTGTCTCCTGTGTGTGTGTGTCTGTGTATCTGTGTGTGTCTGTGTCTCCTGTGTGTGTCTGTGTTAGTGTCTCTGCATGTATCTGTGTATGTGTCTCTGTGTGTGTGTCTGTGTATTTGTGTGTGTCTCTCTGTGTGTGTCTGTCTGTGTGTGTGTGTCTGTGTGTGTCTGCTGTGTGTGTGTCTGTGTGTGTCTCTGTGTGTGTGTCTGTGTGTGTCTCTGTGTGTGCGTGCGGAGCGGTAGTATAGCGGTAAGCGCGCTACGAACCTGGCGACCCGGGCTCGATTCCAGTTCTGGGCCTCCCCTATGTCGACTCAGCCTCAAATGAGTACCTGGTGCGATGTGTAAACATCGCCATCAGGGAGACAAAAGCGGCAGGGCGTGGTGTTGGCCACCCAGCCTTCATAGGTGCTCGCTAACAGCACTTGCCCCAACAGTTTGTAAAGGCTATGCGGGGGATCTTTGTCTTGTGTCTGTGCTGGCCACCCACCCCCTCGTGTGCCGCACCGACCTTCATAGGTGCTCGCAAACTTGCCCCAACACTCTGTTGTGTGTGTGCGAGGAGCTTGCGTCGCCTTCCAGCAAACACGGAAGGCAGAGAGGAGCGACGCTCACAACAACGAGCGCAGCGCCGGGTGCCTAAAACGCAGAGCTGGCACAGCAGGGAGCGCAGGTGGTGCATCTACCAGTAATCTCAGTCAGTCAACCCATGGCACCTGGACCTGTTCCGTAACCTTGCTCCTAGCGGGGCCTTCGATACTTCACGTGGCCTCAAAGTGTACCTAGCATGGCACAAGCGTCGTGTTAACGTCACCTCGAACGGCGGTTGTTGTTGTTGTTGGAGCGACTGTGAAATCTGTGTGTCCCGCTCACGGCCAACACCAGTGACGATTATCTGAACCGGTCCTGGGCCTTCCCTAGGTCGACTGGGGAGACAAAGGCGGCCACCCACGTGTGCCGTGCCGACCTTCATAGGGGCTCGCTACCAGCACTTGCCACAACAGTATGGTAAGGCTACACGGGAGATATTTGTCTTTGTGTGGGGAAGTGACTGGGTGGCTGGGTGGCGGTGATGGCGGGGTGTGTATGTAGTGGGAAGTGGCTGTGTGTGTGTGGGGGGAAATGACTGTGTGTGTGTATGTATGCGCGGGGAGCTTGTGTGTGTGTGTGTGGGGAAAATGACTGTGT